AACTTCAAAATCAAAAACACTTCGATCAACACCTACAAACTTTCATGCACTGGAAGCAGCAACTTTTTGGCTAAGCAGTTTGTGGCCTCCACATATTTCCTAGACCAGGTGGTCAAGTATCTATATGCTTCCCTTACCCCTTCTTGAGGTGAACTTTAAATAAGAAAAACTTGACTCTTGTTGTGCGTGGAGATATACTTTACACGCAACTAATTCTCTAGTCTAGGAAACAAAAATATGGACAGACAAGTTACAGAATCTGGCACTTTCAAGGTCATGAAATCTAGATCCCTGCCGTTCTTAGATCAAACAGGAGTCTGTGAGTGAGGCTTCATTTGGCAAAAAGCTGTGTCACCCTGACATCATAGTGACAGGGCTTCCCACCTGACAAATTTGGCCCACCATGGCAGGAAGAATGAGGGCGTGACCCCCGCCACCAAAAAAGATTCCCCATTCCTGCTTTAACACTAAGATAGTTCTCTAAAAGGTAAAAGTAAAGGGACCCCCGACCATTAGGTCCAGTCGTGACCGACTCTGGGGTTGCAGCGCTCATCTCGCTTTATTGGCCAAGGGAGCCAGTGTACAGCTTCTGGGTCATGTGGCCAGCATGACAAAGCCGCTTCTGGCGAACCAGAGCAGCGCACGGAAACGCCGTTTACCTTCCCGCTGGAGCGGTACCTATTTATCTACTTGCACTTTGACGTGCTTTCGAACTGCTAGGTTGGCAGGAGCAGGGACAGAGCAACGGGAGCTCACCCCATCGCGGGGATTCAAACCGCCGACCTTCTGATCGGCAAGTCCTAGGCTCTGTGGTTTAGACCACAGTGCCACCTGTGTCCCTCAAGTTCCCTACCCCACCCTTTGCTTAACATCCAATCTAACTCCTTTGCTTAACATCCAACCTGACAACAAATCCTGCAGAACTCAAAAGTTTGCTTATAATCTAGTGACATTATGAACAAGCTTTATTGTCACCTAGAGACAGAGTGCCACAAGGGAGGAGGTCCTATGGCTATCTTCTGGGGTAGGGTTTTCCAGACAGAGAACTCTTTTAAAAAGTCCTTGTCATCTGAAGCTGAATCTCTGGGCCATGTAGTTGCGAACTACGCTACCTTTACACAATGCAAGTGTCAGGGCTGCAGCTCAAACAGACGTTTAAATGTTTTCACTGCCTTTTTTCCTAAACCAGACCCCAGAGTGTATACAGCGCTGTCTGGCTTTCATAATCAGCTTGGGATCTTGATGTCTGATTAAACAGTTTGAATTAGCCCAAACAGAAACTTTTTTCATCTTGTGCTTTAATAACAAATGAAAAAAAATATCATAGGCCTTTGGAGAAAGAAATGCATTATGTACTTCAACCACAGCAACCAGTGAATGACAACTATATACATAATGACTGTTCTTTGAAACCAAAATAGCAAGTGTGCTGCGTATATTACAATGTGGGTATCCAACTCAGTGGGGAGAGAGGGCCGCTACGGTGTACTGGTATGCTTGCTCCCTGCTTCTTGAAAATTCCCAGCAGGGAAACTTGTTTATTTATTTATTTTTTATTACTGCATTTATATCCCACTCTTACTTCTGAAAAAACTTGCAGGACTTTTCTCATCGCATGCTGTTAAATTGGGGGAATATACTATGTTGCTTTACTGCACTCAATGGTTTCATATAGATGCTAAACAGCATGGGGGAATCAAACTGAATATAATAATTTATGTTGTTGTTGTTGTTTAGTCGTTTAGTCGTGTCCGACTCTTCGTGACCCCATGGACCAGAGCACGCCAGGCACCTCTGTCCTCCACTACCTCCCGCAGTTTGGTCAAACTCATGCTGGTAACCTCGAAAACACTATCCAACCATCTCGTCCTCTGTCATCCCCTTCTCCTTGTGCCCTCCATCTTTCCCAGCATCAGTGTCTTCTCCAGGGAGTCTTCTCTTCTCATGAGGTGGCCAAAGTACTGGAGCCTCAGCTTCACGATCTGTCCTTCCAGTGAGCACTCAGGGCTGATTTCCTTAAGAATGGATGTGTTTGATCTTCTTGCAGTCCATGGGACTCTCAAGAGTCTTCTCCAGCACCATAATTCAAAAGCATCAATTCTTCGGCGATCAGCCTTCTTTATGGTCCAGCTCTCACTTCCATACATCACTACTGGGAAAACCATGGCTTTAACTATATGGACCTTTGTTGGCCAGGTGACGTCTCTACTTCTCAAGATGCTGTCTAGGCCTGTCATTGCCCTTCTCCCAAGAAGCAGGTGTCTTTTAATTTTGTATACACGCCCATCTGGCTGGGTTTTCCCAGTCACTCTGGGTGGCTCCCAACATCATCACCACCACCATCATCATCATAATGATAAAAGACCAAACATTAAAAACTTCCCTAAACAGGGCTGCCTTCTAAAAGTCAGATAGTTGACATCTGATGGGAGGGTGTTCCACAGGACGGATGCCACTACCAAGAAGTCCCATTGCCTGGTTCCCTGCAACCTCACTTCTCGCTGGACCTCAGTGTCCGGGCTGAACAATGGGGGTGGAGATCCTCCAAGGAACCCCACACTGAAGACTCCACAGGGCCAAGCAGCACTGCCCAAGCATCACCCTCTGGATACGACCATCCAGCTAGGACTGAAACCACTGCAAAGCAGTGCTGCCCACTTCTAACTTGGACACTCGTTCCAGAAGGAAACTGTTTCTCAGGCGGCTAGTCCTGGCCTTTATAACCCTATACCTTCTTCCAGAAGAAGCTGAAAGAGATCATTTCCGGGGTGCGCACTATCCTGCGCTATCTCTGCCGCTTTCTTATAGCACCTGGAAGCATAGATTTGATCCAAGGTGGGAAGAGTGCACCCAATTATTCTCTCTGTGGTCGATGCTCATTGAAAACTGCTGAGAGGTCAAGGAGAAATAAAAGGGCCACATTTCCCGTCTCTCTCCCAACAGATACCACCAAACAGGGCAACCCAAGCAGTTTCTGTGCCCAATCTATGACTGCATATAGGTGGCAGCAAGGTCAGGCTTATGTAGGTGCACTGTGTAGTTCTGGATTGGGTCCGCTGGTGGATTTGCACAAACCCAACCTTGCTGCAGTCTCATCCCTTCTGACGGGAGGCTTTCTGCTCTGTCTCTGCCCCACCAGGCCAGCCACTCCTTTCATCTACATTGCTGAGGGCAGATGTGAGATCCACGCCAACAACATCTGGTGGAAGGTCAGTTTCCTTATCTCTGCTATAGATCTCCAGCTTTTAAGGGTTCTTTATTCATTGGCACAGAAGAAGCAGACAAGAGGAAGGGGAGGCGGCGGCGAGTTCGCACTGGCGATCCGCAGCTCGTCTCGGGGCAAAGCTCAATGCAAAGGCAGCTCTTAATGAAATTTCTGAAAAAATGCAAACTAATGCTTTCTAATTTCCTCACTTAATCTAATGTCACAGCTGTCCCATTAACGCCAGCAGCTATTAGATACTTAAACAACCAGCTTGTTGAACTGCAATTTTATCATATGGCTGTATCCCTCCACTCCTTCCTTCTCCCGGTTTTGATAATGTTCCATAATGGCAGTGAGGGGGTAATTTAAATCTCTGAAAGCCATCAGACCCATAATCATCTCTGGAAAATGAGTACATTTAATGCATTTTGCATAATAAAAAAGGGACACCTGATACAAGCATGAAGTTCAAACATCAAGCCGGCTCACCCTACTACAGCTTATTTCTACAGTAATTAACGTTCCTTCTGAACTGCCCTTTTTTGTTAAAAGAAGCCGAACAACTCCATTGAACAAAACACATGGAGAACAAGACACCCAGTAATGTCTCCTCCACCCATCCCAAAGCCCATTTGGCAGAGTCTCACGTTTTTGATGGGGTCAGGAGTGCACCGACTGTCTCAGCACCACCACGACCTGCATAATTTACAGTTATCACAACATAATACACAGGCAGTAATGGAGTCACCAATAGGCCACCATTTGCTTTTCAGTAAGAAGAGGGCAGCAGCAAAGGAAAGCATGTGATTTTGTGTCTCCACTGGGATAGATATAACTGAGCAATTAACTCTTTTTCATGGCTATGGTGATCGACAGATAGGATTTCATTGCTGCTGAAATAATTAAAGAAAATCTAGAAAACATTCATTCAGTGCCCAAAGCTTAATATCCAGCACCTAATTTTTAAAACCCGAACCAAGGCCCCTTGAGACAGCCTTTTTATTGCAAATTTGTTATTTCCCCCCCCATTATGCTCTTCGGGTGGTCAAATGCAATCCCACTTTCAATGTTGCTTGTGCACGAGGATTTTGGGGTGGTTGCACTGCTTTGTTTTCAATCCGTGCATATCTCATAATATCCCACAGAAATCCCATAACTTTTATTCTTCTTCAACTTTCTATTGAATGAAATCCTGTAACTTCTTATACCACAAACATTCTGGGTTTTTTTTCCTGCTTCAGCTGCACTGTAGCCCCTCCAGAAAGCAATACTGTGGTAGCATTGAGGAAGCACCTCAGAACTTAAGTCTACCACTAACAAATTATAGCTGCCTCGAGAATACTTTGTAAAATATACCCACAGTAAAACACAGGTCTGGAAGGACCCCGATCTAGCAAATGTGCACACGAAATAAGCTTCTGTGCCTAGATGTACTTGACAGGAAGAGAACTATCAAGCATTGTGGGTTCCGATGCTTATCTGCCTTGTGAAGGGAATCCAAAATTGAACCATCTGGTGTGGCTCCCATTTACACCACCCAATGTGGATAGCAGTGCACACTTCCATCACCCTGAAGGGTTAACATCCGTTGGCTAAGATTGAGCATGGTTATATACAGAACCTAGTTCTACTCAAGAGTAGACCCACTGAAATTAACGGACTTATGTTAGTCATGTCAATGAGCTTCAATGGGTCTCCTCTGAGTATGCCTAATATTATATATAATCCACAGAGACTATACTTGGATCGCCAAGACACCTGCAACTTTTCCGATTTGGTTTGCAGCGACACTTACCCGTTTCCTCATCTACGTTGAACCGTCCAAGCCCACTGCCATCTCGGATAGAGTACTGGATCTCGCCATCCCTGCCGGTATCCTCGTCCTTCGCACTCACTTGCAAAACACTTGTTCCGATGCGTGAGTTTTCCTTTACTGATCCAATGACGGCAAAGTCGGAAAAATAAGGGGTGTAGAGGTTTTCGTTCACATCCACGACTTCGACTTCCACAAAGGAAACCGAGGATAAAGAAACCGGGCGGCCTTTATCCTTTGCCCTCACGGTTAGGTTGTAGAACTGTTGCTTCTCGTAGTCGAGTTCTTTGCTTAGGCGGATAGCGCCACTGGCTTTGTCAATTTCAAACCTCCCATTGTAATCGTTCACCAAGGAATAGCGCACTTGTCCTCCGAGACCAAGATCAGGGTCTTGAGTTTCAAGCCAAGCAATGACCGTACCAACTGGCAGATCTTCCAAAACCTTCACACTATAGCTAGGGGGAATGAATGCTGGGGAACAATCATTGACGTCATCCAAAAAAACATTCAGAGGGACGACAGAAGACTGCTGGTGCCCACTCTCTGCTCTGTCTCTCGCCTCTATCTTTAATGTATAATTTGCTTTCGATTCCCTGTCTAAATGGTCCCCTGTGTATACTATTCCTGTGGAGCTATTGATAACAAATTGCTGCGTGTCTGTCAATATGGAGTAAGTCACCTCCCCGTTGGGCCCCAAATCTCTATCTCTGGCCTCTACCTGGATAATTTCCACACCAATACCAGTACTTTCCAACATATTAACCGAGTAGCCTTCCTGCAAAAACAGAGGTGCGTTGTCATTTGCATCCTCTACAGTTATAGTAAGTAATCTCCACGTGGCTTTCTGGGGGCTACCTAAGTCATAAATGGTAATGTTCAGGAGATATAGCTCTGTTTTCTCACGATCCAGGGGCAAAAGGACCTTAAGCAGCCCTGTCTCCACTTCGAGGTTAAAGCAGCTGTCTGTATTGCCATCTGATATGGTGTACAGCACTTTCCCATTAAAGCCGGAATCGGCATCATAGGCCTTGATTTGGAATATGGTGGCCCCAACAGGAAGGTCCTCTCTGACGGATACATCAGAAGGAAAGGATTTGTCAAAATGTGGGGCCTGCCTGTTCATGGAATAGAAATCCAGGAAGCCGTCTTCGGAATTTAGCTTCACGTTGGCTTTAGCCTTTTTCAGCAACTTCTCCGCCAGCCTCTGAGCAACTCTGGTCTCTCGGCAGCTAAAGGTTTTAGAAGACACTTTCCCGTGAACCACAGAGATGTTGACGAACATGGAATCGGCAAAATTCTCCCCGTCGGTTGCTGTTATCCTAAGTCCAAAGTTGTTGTTCTTCACGCCGGCGCCAGACAGGGACTTTTTGAGCTGCAGAACCCCCGAGTCTGGATTCAGGTAAAAAAAGCCCAGCTCGTTACCGGAAATTATTTTGTATTTCACAAGCTCCAACTCGTCTATATCTATAGCAGAGACTGCTGTGATGTGCCCGCCAACAGGGAAATCTGATGAAATCACTCCCTGACAAGCCACCTTTTCAAACAACGGCTTGTTATCGTTTACGTTGCCTATGTATATTGTGACATTCACCTCGCTTTCGTGGCGGTAAGGCGAGCCCCAGTCTGAGGCCCTAACAATAAACCTGTAGCTCTCCGGGGAGGACTCAAAATCCAGCTCTTCAGATGTGCTAATAACCCCCGTAAACTGGTTGATGGAAAAGGGGAGCGAATTTAGACTAGCAATGCTGTACGTGATGTAGCCGTTTTCTCCACGATCCTTATCAAAAGCAGAAACTGACAAAATGCTAGTACCCACGGAGACACTTTCGTTGACATAGGAGCTATACGAAGGTTGTGTAAACTCTGGGATGTGATCATTGGCATCTTCTATCCTGACAGTAACATGTGTTTTCAAGTATCCGTCTTTGTTCGTTACTTCTAAGTCGTAAAATTCCTTGTCAACAATTTTTAAAGGGCGTGCAGTGGTAATTAGACCTGTCCTGGGATTAATCTTAAAATACTCTGCATCCTCGCTGGGAGACAATTTATATCCTTCACCCTGCAGTTCTGGGGTTAGCTTAACTATAGCAACGACTACTCCGGGAGGAGAGAATTCACTGATGGCCACATCATATGTTTCCTTTTCGAACTTTACAGGGCTGCTTCCTCTACTGGGACTGGCAATATGTACCAGTTTCACAGCCGAAAACTTTTGAGGGGACCCTTTGTCTTTTGCTTGGAGCGTAAGATTGCAACCATATGGGAAATGGTCCCAATCAATGGGCTTTTTCTCTTTGATTTTGTACTCGTTCATCCATCTGCCATCCTTAGTCAAGTGGAAATGTTCCAAGGGATCTCCAGCAACAATAGAAAGAGATTCTATCTCGCCGTTGGCACCTTCATCTAAGTCATCCACGTTAACAATAGCATATGTAGGCTCCTTGTCCGAAGGAAAGGGAATGTGGGTTACGACATTGATAGTTGGGGCGTGCTCATTTATGCGCTCAATATGTATGTAAAGTTTGGCAGTGCTGCTTACTCCATTGTTACCATAGAGTTTCATCCCACGGTCCACAGCTAAAACTTCAAGGTCATACCTGTTTTTCTCATCGTAGTTTAGCCGGCCGCTTAAAGAGATAACCCCACTAGTTGGATGGACAGAGAAGAGGTCGACTTTATTTTTAAAGTAGTAATAGAATTCACCGTTGGAACCAATATCAGCATCTGTCGCTGTAACCTGTGCAATGCTAGTCCTAAGAGGAGTGCTTTCTGCTATGGTTACGGAATAGGTGGTTGGTGAAAACAAAGGCCGCAAATCGTTCATGTCTAAAACCTGGATGTTCACTTTTGTCCATGCTTCCAAGTCTTCTCCACGGACAGAGCCCTTTATTATCAACAAATAGTTGTCCTGGATTTCTCGATTCAATATGGCAGAATTCCCACCTTTAGTCCTTATCCTAAGGAAACAGAAATCAGCTATTACAACTTCCTCTGCCTTGAAAAAGCCTTCATCGTCGCCAGACACTATCCTGTATTTGATATCCCAAGAGAGGTCCGCCATAGTGATGCCCATTCTACTTTGGCTGTTAAGATAGGTCCGTGCCGCAGAGTTCTCGTACACTGTGGTGTTGTATATGGAATGTGTGAAGTGGAAGCCAAATGGCATTGCCCCTTGAAGGCCATGGCAGGTGTTGGCCAAAAGCTGAACAAGCAGGAAGACTAGGCCAGGCGTGGGGGCCAAAGGACCTGACCAATGGCCCATATTTCTCTCCATCACATCATTCTTTCATCCTTTAAGAAAAGAAAAAGATAGGCATTGATTAGTGAAAGACAAATATTCCACATGCTGCCATTACTCAACTGTGTTTATAGATTATGTAATTAAAAAAAAATCAGTTCCCAACATTCTGCCCCACTCTCCAAATAGTCTATCACATTCTAGAGAAATCTGAACAACCCATGTTGCAGAATAGCTGGTTGACCACAAACATAAATCAACTTTCGATGAGCAAATATGATAGGTTTACATCTTGGTGGGTCACAACCTGTTCAACCCAACTCTAGCATAAGTGAGATCTTCAGCTCTGACCATAGATACCTATAAATAAGCTGTAATAAGAAAAAGTCAGGGAGATATATGGGAACCTCCTCCAGCCAATGAGACCACCAAAAGCATGGGTCAAGTTCTACCTTCAACTGAAAACGCACCTTTTATTCTTGCATGCACAAAGGACTGTCATTCGCTCACATGGGGAAAAGCAAAGAGCTGAACTTGCTGCAGTGTTGTGGTGGTGCCAAGACCTGCCCAGTAACCCTGGCACCTAGCTGCCCTGGCCTCTATGAACAAAGTGCACTGCATCCATTTACAGAGAGTGCATAAGACTGCAGCCCCAGGCATTCCTAAAATATATGTACAGGAGAGGTGTCAGTACCTATCACCCCTGAGCATCTACTGAGGGTCCACCAGTGCTGATGCCTGCTACAGATTGGGCCCACCCACCTGCACATCCCAGTTGCTTCTACTTATCAGAGATCAACTGCAAGCTGTCCAACATTTTAAATTATCTGCAATCCTCCTAGGCATTTAAAGATAATTTGGATGATGGGAAGCTCACTACCGTTGCCCAATGGCACCGGTAAGTCCATTGTTGCTGGGGTGTGGATGGGCATCACCAAATGTTGGGGGCATCAGACATAACTTGGTGTGGGGGGGGAATCACAAACCTGGATCTGACCTTGAATCTGTACATTCCCTCGCCATATAATTTGTCCCACATAATGATGGGACATTTTTCCTACCAAAAATTTAAATGTGACTTCGAAGGCTGCCATTCCAAACTTTTCCCTAGGGTAAATTCTCCTGTTTAAGTAATCCCACTGTGTGGGGTTTTTTTTATGCTATTAATTTCAGGAAATTATTTTTCTGGCCTATAAATAACAACAGCCAATATTTCACCAAGACAGTGTGCTCTTTTTATTCAATTTACAAAGGATATGCTGGACAAAGAACAAATCACAGGTTAGGTTGTTTGGCGAAAAGCACCTTGTTCCCTACTGATTCCTGATGCTTCCCTGAAGCTCGGACACTCAGTTATCTTGTTCCACGAAACAAGCTAATGGACTTCAGTTATGAAAACACCCATCGTTTGCCATACACCATGAATGCTCATCTATGACACTGGCAGTGGAGTGGCCATAATTTTAGTGAGACTTTAAAACATCAAAAATGGCAGGGCGCAGAAAAGAGAGGAAGGTGCCTCTGATAAGAGTGGAAATTTCTATGAGCTGCGCACAATTTTTTATGGCATGATTTCAGACCACAGTCGTCCTTTCAAACTGAGTATAATTCTGTAACTCTGCTGCTGGTTTTTAAATACTAGTGGAAATCGATTTATTGCAATGATGTTACAACACTCCCACAAAGCACCTTAGCTCCGACCCCAGTCTATATTCAACTGCAAAGCGCATTAATCAATAATACCTGATCAACTCTCCTGTGTGTTTCGTCAAGACATGCAGCTTTTTCAAACTGTTTACTTTCATACATTACTCCTTTCTTCTTCCTTGTATTGATCCCTGGCAAGTCTGAGCAGCCAAGAACCTCACAGCTTTCAAGGCTCCTTCGCTGGTGGCATCAGGGAAAGCGACAAGTATAGATATGTTGTCAGGCAGGTTGGACTGGCACTAAGAAAGCATTCAGGGAATCATAGAGCGGAACAGACCTCAAAGGTCCTCTAGTTCAACACCTGACAGGGCAGGAAATCTACTGCTACAACATCTCTGACAGGTGGTCATCCATCTACTGCTAAAAAGTGTCAAAAATGAAGGCAAGTCCACCCCCTTCTGGGACAGTCTGTTGCACACTCTCACTCAGGGTGTCGTGGACTGGTTGGATGTAGAGGAAAGGTGGGAGGAACCAGGTGGGAAACCACCAAGGGAAGATGGCACAGTCCAGGGAGTGGTGGTAGGACAATGAAGTGGGAGAAGATTGAGGGGAGGAGGTGTCAGAAGCTGAAGAAGAAGAAGAAGAGTTTGGATTTGATATCCCGCCTTTCACTCCCTTTAAGGAGTATCAAAGCGGCTCACATTCTCCTTTCCCTTCCTCCCCCACAACAAACACTCTGTGAGGTGAGTGAGGCTGAGAGACTTCAAAGAAGTGTGACTGGCCCAAGGTCACCCAACAGCTGCATGTGGAGGAGCGGAGATGCGAACCCGGTTCCCCAGATTACGAGACTACCACTCTTAACCACTACACCACACTGGCTCTCAAAGAGGCAACAGGACTTAGTGAGCTGGGAGAGTCTGTGGCAGAGAGAAGCCCGGAATCAGAGGCAGAAGCTGAAGCTGAAGCAGAAGATGGGGGAGGCCAAGACACAGAGATGAGTCAGGCTAGTGACGAGTCACGGGTGTCTCCGGCTGCAACAAGATATTATCTCTGCTTTTAACCCAGAACCAGAAGAGGCATGAAAAGGGTGGGGGAGACAGGGTTGCATGCATGCAGGGTCTCAGATGCTTGGGGAAAGCCCTGGTGAGGAGGTGGGGACTTTCAGTCTCTGCAACTGATTTTCATGGAGGAAGACCACTGGGAATGAGCTGCTCTGTTCATTAGGCCTGAGAATCAGTCAAGTCTGTGGAGATTGTGTTTTTGCTGATAAAGGGTTAGCTCCATCTTTGAACTGTGTGATTACTGACCAGCAGGGCAGCCAATATGGTAGTCTCCAATTGCTGTTGGACTACAACCCCAATCATCCCTAGTCATGCTGGCTGAAGCTGAAGTTGGATTGCAGCAACTTATGGAGGGCAACACATTGGTTCCTCCTAGTCTAGCTGCTCATGTCATTATCAAGTTCTTCCTTCCATTAAGCCAAAATCCTCTTTCTTGCCATTTGAATCTTGTTTAAGGTCCTACCCTCTGGGGAAACCTGTATAACTCACATTAAATAGCTGACAGTGAGACAAATATTTGGCAGAAAATGAACTGAAACAGTAGGATGAAAACAGCGCTGACAGTAATGAATACAGATCGGAAGGGAAATCGCTGCCTTTCTACATCCCTAACGTTCACAGAGGAGCATTTTTTAAAAACTGCATTTCTTTATTTTGGGGATTCATACCCAACCCTTCAATAAAATTCCCACGGCCGCCTAGTAAATTTCAGAACACTGAAAACGTACACAAATATGCAAAAAATAAAAATAGTAAAATCAATAGCAGTGGCAAAAACAATAAGCCCAGCCAAGAGAAAACAGCACAGCATGCCAGAGACTAGCTCATTATTGGAATTATACAGAGAAACTGCTTCACCAACTAAGCAGTGTACAGGGAGAAAAATCCACTTTGTTCCCACCATCACTGACTTGATGACAAGTAACGTGTGATTCTGGGATGTCACCAAAAACAACCGGCCTATGGTCCCTTCTCCTTTCTGCTATAAAGGAAAGAGATCAGGGGGAGATTGGCATTAGTTAACCTCCTCTGCAGCTGCCAAGAGACATGGACCAAGGAGCTGGAGATTCACAATGGGGCAGTGGTAAATTTGTTCCTACCATTATGGTGGACCTTGGGCCATCTGCTATACAGAGGACATTTTTCCCCCTACCATCTTGGAGGCAAAAACAATGGATGTTCCTGGCCTCAGCCACAAACAGAAGCACCAGGTCTACAGGAGCCAACTCCTAAGGGCCGAGGTCCACCCCCATAAAATATTTGAGGGGGCTGGGCCCCCAACAGTTGATGGGCATTGACATTTAAATGGTGTCCATGGTCCATCTGACCAGGGGTACCAACTTGAATAAAATATTGAGAGCAAGGCTTACCTCCCCCCCCCCCCAATATTTTATTCAAGTTGGCACTCCTGGTCAGATCACAGGCTTCCATTCTTAGTCAAAGGGCTAGGCCTTGGAAAAATAGTTGGGATTGGGGATATCCAACATGGTGCCCTTTAGATGTTGGAAGACTAGAACTCACAGAATCCCTGACCACTTGGCAGCCTGGCTGGGATGATGGGAGTCCAATCTGAGCAGAACCGGGTTCGCTACACCTAATCAAAACCTTGTTTTCAAGGTTTAGATGATAGAAACTGTTCCTAAACGGACCTCTGGCATCAGAAGATCTGAGTTCTCAACTGTTCAGCCGGGCAAGCAGGATTCTTTGAGGGAACAAGAAGAACATATGTTTTCTGCAGGCTCTTTCTTGTTGGGTATTTGTTTTAAAGAGCCATGCCATGTTTAGAAGGCCGGAAATGTAATGCGATAACACGCAGCCCATTACAAAGGAGCAGAACGTGAACAGACAAAAATCACTTCGTAAACATTTCTGATTTCGGGAAGAAGAAAACCCGCTCAACTAAATATTATGGTTTCAAGTGGGAGATTAAGGGTGTGATTACTTGTGTGCGGTTTTAAAACATCCAAGCAGGAAACTACTTAGAACGACGCGGGTTTCATTAAAAGGGGTGGGTGGGCATGAGCTCTCGTTTTTGCAGCAGTGTTAATTAAAAATGGAAGTCATGCTCCAAATATGCATAGCACCAGCCAAGGTGACTTTAGTTAGGCGAACAGCACCCTTTGACAACAGATACTAGTCTCTCGCAGTGCTAAGAAAGCTCTGAAGCCATTCACCTTGTAAATGCAAATTTTCCAAGTCCAAGACAAATACATCATTACCATACTGATGAAATTTAGAGCTATTTCCTTGCCTCGGTATATCAGCGGCGTGTAACTTCACCAACGGTTACAAGAAACGCAGGCAGGCAAAAAAAGGGGGGGCAGTCATCAATGACACTACATGAA